AAACTTACAAGAACACCGTCGTAGGTTTTTAAGTCTATTTAGACTTGCAAGCAAGCTTTTGCTCATTGTTTTTCTGGATTTAAGATATGTGAAATCCTCAATTTTCGTCATAATTTTGCCACTTAATGTGAGATAGTGGTTGATAAAAACTGAATTAGTTTCTGTCCACAATATTTTTGGTAATATGTTGTAGCTTTAAATCTACCTTATCATTACTTGAGAAAAAAAGAAGAAGAAAGAAAGCTATATTTATTAGAATACAAGTCAAGAGTTACGTGGCAATCGGAAATGAAAACATATAACATCTATAGTACTACACTTTCTGAAGTGCTATGTGGCAATCGGAAATGAAAACATATAACACCTATAGTACTACACTTTCTCAAGTGCTATGTGGCAATCGCAAATGAAAACATATAACACCTATAGCACTACACTTTCTCGAGTGCTACTGTGACAATCGGAAATGAAAACATATAACACCTATAGCACTACACTTTCTCAAGTGCTACTGTGACAATCGGAAATGAAAACATATAACACCTATAGCACTACACTTTCTCAAGTGTTATGTGACAATCGGAAATGAAAACATATAACACCTATATCACTACACTCTCTCAAGTGCTACATTGCAATTGGAAATAAAAACATATAACACTTATAGCACTACACTTTTTTAAGAATTACCTGGCAATCGGAAATGAAAAACATATCACCTATAGCACTGCACTTTATGTGGCAATCGGAAATGAAACATATAACACCTGTAATATTCCACTTTCTCAAGTGTTATGAGGCAATCGGAAATGAAACAAAATATCTATAGTATTCCGACTTCCCCTTTTCCGTAAATTCACTTTCTATGAAATTCAACTATTCTTTTCAAGCTGTTAGTCTATTTTATGTCATACTTAATCAATATCTGATTATTATTTCTTGTTATGTTTGTTTCACATAGAGCACAATGATATGAGATAATGGCATTCAATACAATTCCACAATTCTAAACTCTTTGTTGTTAAATGTCTTTAACTAAACTCGAAGTTTGATTGTTTAAACGCGCAAAGTTTAATCACGTATATACGTTTTGCAAAGTTTAATCACGTAAACAGGTTTTGCAAAGTTTTATCACGTAAACAGGTTTTGCAAAGTTTTATTACGTAAACAAGTTTTGCAAACAAGGATATTTCTTTCTTGAATGAAACGTCGCTATTAGATTTTCAAAACACGCATTTCTAATCAACTTTAGTTAAAGCCGAGCCGCACTTTGTTATAGGCTGTGTTTATAATATGCATACTTATGGAATCCATTTATGTTTACGACTGTTGTTTCATCACGTTTCATTTTCTTTCTCCCTAAACCCAGTCTTAAAACAATAATAGGATTTCGCATAAGATTCGAACATTTCTTTACATTACTAACGTCATACAAAAGTGACATGACATAATCTATCCATTTATGGAATAAAAACGAGAGCCACCTGCTTGCTTATTTATATAATTATTGCAATTTCTGTCTTTTTTTTTTTTTAGAATACAGAGCAATCTATAGAACTATGAACGTTTTTGTTTGTAGAACAGTAATAACAGTAAAATTGGTTATTAAACACAGTTAAGAACAACAGCTGGTTATATGGTATCACCGATAATTATAATATAAATGAAACTACTATATTGCATGGTTAATTGATCCTATAATGTGCCCCCCCCCCCTAGTTTATGGTGGAAGATGTGAAATGTAAATCGTGTTTTCAACTCATTGATGAAATATCCTGCTGGAATATTCCGTGACTACAAGCTATCCCGTACACAGACAGTTCAGTAACCAAACAAGCTTTGAAGAATGATGTAAATTATCTATAAACACACAATACACGGAAAGAAGGGGGCGTGAAATGCCGCCAAAAGTGTATGTTATTAGAAAAGGAAAACTCTCGTACATCGGGACGAAAAACAAAGCCGTGCTTATTATATCTTTTACTACCACTAGTGTCAACTATCTGCATTTTATTCACGTTTCAAAATCAAGAACAATGCCGTTAAGTTAGTGACGGAAAAGACAAACAAACGAACAAAAATCAGGCCAAACAGCTTTTTTAGTTACATATATTATGTACTGGTTATGGATTGTTTAAGGAAAGATATATATATATAAGATGCAATGTTCTAATAAGTTTATCGTTTTACACCTTCAGTTCTTCTTATACAGTTTAAAAAAAACTGCAGTGAGGATTTTTCTGTCTTAGAAAATGGTCCGTTGTGATAATATCGTTGTTTTTCTAACGTAAAGCCATGCTCTGTCTATCACGGGAATCGAACCCTGTATTTTAGCATTGTAAGTCAGTGATCTTACCGTTGACCCTCCAAGGAGTAATTTTTGTTAGCCTGAAAGTCCCGAGGCCTCCTATATAATCCATGCCGGATGCCCTTAGTGCACGTAATGTACAATAATAGCCGTTGCAGCAAACTAAAATTTAATAAATGTTTATTTTACAAAACTAAAAACTCTAAAACATAAAAAGAAATTAGTGAAAAAACTCTTAAGACATAAAAAGAAATTAGTGCTAAATAGAACTAGAGAGCCATTACGCCATGTCCATATACAAAGTTTTGAGGAAAGAAAACATATATATATGATCCGTGTATTTTACAATATTTAATATATAGAGGCATATAAACTAATCTATAGCTTCCTACTGCATGAAAAGGGGTAATCTCTATGAAATAGGCCGTATAAATTCACTATGTCCCGATTTTCTTTTATTTGTTATATTCCTTCCTGTCTGTCTTGCTAACTTGTGGACCACTTAAAAGATTTTTTAATCTAATTTATTAATATTTTTCTCTTTCTTTTAGTACTTATTTGAGGATACTTGACAGCTTTTTAATCTAATTTATCTGTGTTTCTTTCTGTTTCTCAATTATTGTTTGAGAAACTGAATATAGCTTTCTTTTCTCTCTCTCTCTTCTATTTGTATGTTTTCTCTGTCTCTCTGTTTACTCCAAGAGCACTTGACAGCTTCCTATTAGCTTCGATAGAAATATATTTAACAAGTAAAATTATTAGACGATTCATTGGTGTTTAATGTCAGACATATGTAGTGATTTTCTGGCGGTTTTCAGCGTGTGGTGGAGACATTTGTAAAACTTGAATTTCGGAATACTCATAGTCTTTAAAGAGCGAGGCTATTAATTTACCAGCACTCAACACGTTTCAAATATGAGCATTTTAAATACTATAAAAGCTAAACACAATTATAAATGGTAACCCCCCTCCCCAAATTTCAAAGAAAAAATACAAAATGAAACGCCACAAAAATCATAAAGCTCAACCTATCAGAAAGAGCTAACGAGATCTGTGAGATTAAGTTTAAGAAAAGAAACAAGTTAACACATTTAACTTTTTATGAAAACTTTATTATAATTTAATCAGAGTTGTTCGATAAAACAGATAATATATTCAGCTTTTGTTTGTTGGTGATCATTTTAAGTAAAGTGACCACAGGAAAGAGCAGACTGATAATTCAGAAGATCTATAAATGCGAATCCTGATCAATGCAATCAAAAATCGGTGTCTATTTGATTAAACTCATGTTGGAACGTTGAGAAATTAAAAACTAACAAATCATTTAAGTAACTAGTAGGGCCGACTGTGGCCTAGTGGTTAGCTTGACCTGACTGCGAATCCGAAGATTCAAATGTTAGATACAATTTGAGGCAATGTATTCTCCACAAGAATGAAAGTCAAATCCACTATTTGATCAGATAAAAATTATGCAAGCGATGGCGGTGGGTGCTGTTGATTAGCTATCTTCTCTCTAGTTTATCAGTTCAAAGTGGGGACAGATAAGCCTTTGTTTAGGATAACGTGAAATTCTGAAACAGATACTTCTGTTTAGCGAGAAGGTTATCATCCGATCAACTGCGTATTAGCTATAATGAAGATATTGTTAGGATAAGAATCCTAAAAGTTTAAACTCCTGAACCGACGTAAAAAATTTCTGAAAGGAAAACTGGGTTATTTTCTTATAAAAAAAGATCATAAGAAGCTAAATGTCTAAGTAACTACAGGTCACTTTTTAAGGAAACTATACTAACCAGTCTGACATGATTATAGTATTTTGGCACTTGTGTATAAAGTTAAAATTATAAATAATATTCAACGTTGAACTGGTACACGGTTAAAAACATTTTATTTAGGCCTATCTATGGCCTTCAAAAAGTTGACGACTCTACATGTTTCGACGTTGTAACTTTGTGAAGGCCATAGATAGGCCTAAATAAAATGTTTTTAACTGTGTACCAGTCTGACGTGCTTATATCACACAGACGCGTACAAACACACACGTATATATATAAATATATATATAGTAAATTTATCTTATTATATGACATTGAATTTCAAACCATGCTGATGCTGCTTTCTAGTCACAGTTTAGTAAACAAAAGTAATCCAATACAAGACATTTTAGTACAAAATAAACGATGAATTAAATTCTAGGTCAATTGATGTGAGAAAACATGTTCACCGCCTATTTATAAAGAAAGTTTGTTCGTTTGATTGTTTTGAATTTAGTGCAAAACTACACGAGGGTTATCTGCGCTTTATAAAGAGAGAGAGATAAAGAACGATTTTATTTATTTCTTAAGACTTGTAATCATGATTTGATTAATATATTTTAATTCGATTACAAAGAAATAATATTGCTACTTTCAAAGACGTATCAGTTTCTGTTATCTCATAAGCTGCAGACTGAAATGGAAGAAGAAGTAAACGTATTTTGTTGATCCGTCGTTATATTTAAAACAGAACGGTTTATAAGATTTATAACTTAGAGAAGTAGAGAGGCATGTTTTTCATTAAACGTATGGCATCTGAAATGAAGCTATTTTCTTATAGTTGCTTACGTTAAATGACACGTGGGTATGGAAGAAATCCACATTTTACTTTCTGTGCTACCAACAGTACACTCGCACGAAAGAAATGCAAGTCTTACCTGCGATTGTTAGGGCCTTTTTTGCTACCGACATTTCACGTTCAGGTCCGTGGCGGGCCATGATAGCAGCGATAGAAAAGTCAGTTGACCTCCCTGTAGACGTAGATCTCGGCTCGTCGAGAGGACAAGAGATTGGTGATTGTTGCATTCTGTTGTTGTTGTTTTTTAACAAGTTTGAATTTTTTCTTGAACACTGTTACTATAGGTAAAACATAGCGTTACAAACACAAGTCTATATAGATCTCTGGTTAATACATTGTATTTATTGGAAATAAAGATTCAATACTTTGTACACTTTTTGTCCTCTTTTTTTTCTTCTTCTAGTTCGTTCTTACTTTTCTGATGAACATGCGAAACCAGAACAATCCAATAACATCTGAGCGCTAGACTGAATAGTCCGTCCAAACTTTCAAACAAAGTTTCACATCAGAAATCAGTATCTTCTAATCTTAGCAGAAAAACTAAAGGTTTTTTCTTTTCTTCTTTCTTTCAGTCTGACTGATTTTGTGGATTTATTTGGATGTTTACCTGTTCAGAATGAAGTAGCTAGTCTTTGAATGCCGGTTCCTATTCTTTAATTTCACTTCAAATATTTCAACATTGACATTCTAAACTCATGTTAAAAACAACATCCTTTTACTGCACAAAGTCTAGAAGATTAACGAAATATTGGGGAGTATAATAAGTAAAAAGATGACCCAAACCATTTTTTCATAACCTTAGCACTTTTTTGGAAACATTCAGGACGAAAAGTTTAATAAACAGAAGTTTTACACTATATTACCCAAAACTACGATCAATAGAAGCTAATCATTGACGTTGTTACATTGGCAAAAGTTCTGCCGCTAAGTTATGGTTTTGTTCGGCTTCTTCTCACCAAGGCAACACCGTCATGCAAAAACGGTCGATATAGCTAGCTGGTAGAGAGGGCGCTTTCATCTGCCGTCGCGTGTAGCGAACCTCCTCACGCCTGCAGGGAATAATACTTTCCGTGCTAGTCAGGCGGAGCAATTGCTGTCAAGTGAGGGGCGGGACTTTAAGCTATTGAAATGGAATGTGTGGCGAATTACTGAGAGACACATAAGCGTTTGGAGGGTTGTTCTTGCAGAATGCCTTTCACACCAAAAGTGCAACATGAAGGCACACTGTTCATCATAGAACTTACAATTGTTTGTGGTGTCGGGGAAGGCACAAGCAAGGTATACAAAGTCCAAACAAAATCAAATATAGCGGTTCACCTCACCCGCTCGAAAGAGGGCGCCACGTACTTAGCTACTTCCATTTTTTTTTCTGTTCTGATATCTTGCGCTTGATTACCATTATGAAGAAGGCTGAAAAAAAAACAAAAAAAACAGCCGCGTTTGAATACATAACCAACTTAACATACTCACACAAAAAGATACAATCAAAATCTCATGTTATAATTCTTCATTTCAGCCCGATAATATTTTTAGCCTAATGACGTGATTAATTTAAAGCACAAGACAAAGAACATTGTAAGGTAAAACACACACACACATACACACGTATATATATATATATATATATATATATATATATATATATTAATTAACTTAATATGATATTTTGTAAGAATCAATCTATTTATATAATTGCATTTTATTCGGTAGCATTAATTGATCATCGTGTACGATATTTTGTTTATATATTCGTAATATAAAATTGATGTTCGATTCCCCGCGGTGGACAGAGTGCAGATAGCCAAATGTGTGATGTGGCTTTAACGCTAAAACAAACAGTCGTTATACATATAAACTCATTTCAGAGCTGAAAACTGATATTACCTAAGAGGTATCAGTATGGGATCAGTAGCATCTTCGCGGTTAAACGGTGTAAACTGTTGCTAAGAGGTAGAGGTCGTTGTTTTATTTGGTTATAAAAGATAGATACATAACAACCTTCATCCTTTCTTTACTCATAAGAACCACTGTTGACACTAATACGATAGTGTATGTTTAACCCAAAAGCTAATACTTCAAAAGGAGTCACGGTCAAATAAAAAGTTTTGTAGTCATGACAACGTAACTGACTCTGAATTCTAGTAAAAACAGATGATTTTAAATTATCCGTCAAAAATTATTTCGATATTACTGTTTGACGAATTTTCTGTTTTTTGTTTGTGATTACAATACATTAATTATTAATAAAACTTTCTGAGTGAAAGTGAAAAAAAAAAAGGGTATCATAATATGTCAACTATCATAATTCAACCAAAACAACCAAAAAATGAACCGGACAGTTGACTCTATTCATTTCCACTCAAATTTTGGACTTCAATTTTACCTCATTTTTAGTGAGCAGTATTCGCTCGTGTAAGAGCTGCGAACCTGTGGTGATTCAAAGTTAAGCTTGGGGGCTAATAACACTGTAATTTGGGGCTCGATCTTTTCGAAAGTCACAGCGCAAATAGTCCATTATGCAGTCTTGCGCTTAAACAAAGTACGTCGATTTTTTGCTACTCAGAAAGTGGGAGGTTATAGTCTATACAGGCAATAAAACATTAAATAGATGTAGAATAAATAAAGAAAAATAACGCAGGATTCGGTTGTTGTTTAGGGTCTTGTAAACTTACATGATAAAAACGCCTGTTTTATTCAGCTTGTATATTTCTTTTAGCGAAATTACAAAACGAGTGACTGCCTATGAAACCTTTCAGATAAGCTTAATTTCAAAACGAAGTAAACTATTGATCGTGGGATGTTATACAAATAGTGCCTGTTATCCAACTTTCAAATAAAGATTTTCAATTAAAATGTAATGATTGACAGCATTGTAACAGGAACAGAACGCACTGAACACATGAATATTATCAATATATTTGTTCTAGCTAACCTACTGCCAATACAATATAGCAATAGAAAGTTAAAACAGTATACACATAAATGTTAACAGTATTACTGTTCTAGCTAACATACTGTCAATACAATATAGCAATAGAAAGTTAAAACAGTATAGTACATAAATGGTAACAATATTGCTGTTCCTATTGACAGTAGGTTAGCTCAATATAGCAAAGAAAGTTAAAACAGTATAGTACATAAATGGTAACAATATTACTGTTCTAGCTAACCTACTGTCAATACAATATAGCAAAGAAAGTTAAAACAGTATAGTACATAAATGTTAATAATATTTCTGATTTATCCAATCAACTGTCAATCCAAAATGTGGTACCAAGAAGAAGCTATTGTAATGAAAAATATGAATAGAACTGCTTTCATTTTTATCAGAACCTTTTTAGTGAATACAATAAATTAATTACGAGAGCATTTCAACTGGTTTACAATACCTATTTCTTTTCTTTTGAAGAAGCTTGAGAATCATGAAACATAAATAAATAGTGTGACAATTGTTGAACAAGATGAACTAATATTTCAACATCGTTTTGATTATAACTTTATTTAATAAACACCCAACGAGCTTAGTTTGTCCATGTAGCAAATAAGATAAACGATATATATATTTAGAAAATTTAAACTGCTCAAGCATTTTGAGATTGCTTTAGAGCACAAATTAAATGTACAAGTCACTAAATGTTTATTTCTCAAGGTGAAGTTTTATTTTGATAGAAGTAATCATTGTTACTAGTAACAAGTACGTA